TGATTGGCAGCTCTCTCCAGCTGAGGCCTCCAGTCTTCACCCTGGTTTTGGCAGGGTGGGCTTACCCGACCAGCCTGTGAGTGAATGAGCAGTCTCCCCCTTGCTCTGTTATCTGTAACAGGGGCGAGGATAGTATAGGAGGGGAGTGGTGCCTAATAGAAGAAAGGGTCTGTGTTGCCCCTTGTCATCTTCCCATCTTGTTTCTGAAGGCCCCTTCAAGTGCACTGTGGTGTTTCCATCGTTGGTGGCAGGTTTGCCTCTGAGGTGGCCTCAGGATCTTGGCAAAGCCCTATCTAGCTAGGAGTCTAGCCTCTTCCTCCTGTGTACAGTTCCTGACGGTAAGGTCCAGGCCACACTGTTCCATGCCCTTCAGTTTGGTGGGGCCTCAGGGGCCTCCTACCATGGCAGCAGCTGGGACCTGCAGGGATACAAGGCCCTTGGCATCCTATGAGGCGATCATGTGAGGTTGGAGCTGCTGGGTCAGCACTGCTCCCTGCATGCAGGACCGTTTCCCCCCTGTACCACCCTCCCTTCACTTTCGGAGGTGAGCAATTTGCTCTTCCTCCCCTTCTCTGTAGTTTCTGCAGTTGGAAAATGTTGTGAGTGGGGTTCAAACACACCTGGGCTGAACATAAAGGAAATAGTACCCTCCAGGGAGCCTTGCCACATGCCCTGAATCTAGGACTTTCCTAATTAGGGTGGATGGCCCACACCACGATGTCTCCACAGGGCCGTGTGCAGCTCCCATTCTCAGCACCCCTCAACCCCGGCTTCAAAGGACCCAGGTGCTTGGCTGCAGCCATCCAAGCACTGGTCAATAGGGTGGGAATGTTCCCAGAGGGTGAGCCTTTAAGGAGATCTGTTGATCATCATTGCTTCTGCCTCCCTGAGTATCCCAGTAGCATAGTCCAGTCAATTAAAATGCCTTGATCCCTGGGAAGGAAGACATTTCCAGAAGGTGTTCTGAATTTTTGGTAATTCATGATTTCCATCCCTGGCTCAGTGGCCGGCCCATCTACTGCCTACTCCAGGTGACGAGCCCAGGCTGGGAGCCACAGGTCATCTCAGGCTCCGGGTGTCTGGCCTCACTGGTCTACAGAAACTTTCCTTCTTAAAAGGAAATTTAGTAGTTTCTGATATTCAGGCCTCAAGCTAAAAGCTTAAAAAAGGACCATCCATGCTTCTTCTGGTATTTTACATATATACGTATGTTGTTCCTAAAGTATTAGTTCTGAACATAAAAAAAATTGAAATTGGTCATATAATAAACTTCAAGGGAGTAAATAAAATTTAACTTTATTTTTACTTACTTTTTTTTTGGGGGGGGGGGAATTGCTATAGGGCACACGTTCGCCAGAAAGACAGAGATAGAGGGACAGAAAGCGAGAACTCACCCTCCAGGAAGGATGGCCACACCGCAATCCCTTCTCCTCCATTCTCCTCTTGGGATCTTGGGCACACACGCACGTGCACCCGGCAAGAGTTTAAGCCACCGGGTTCGGGACTCCAACCGCGATTGACTACATGGGAGTAGTGAGTAGAAACACTGAGAATCCCACATGACCAGAGCATGAATGTCACTGGGAGGGGCCCCACACAGCCTTGGAAAAGTGACCTATAAGCAGTGGCTACAGCGTTGGTCTGGCTCTCATTCCCTGCGTAGAAAACTCATCAAATCTCTGACCGGGATCTTGAAAGGAAAGAAAAACGAAATGCCACAGGTAGGCACCACGTCTCAATCACTCGCGGATGATTTCCTTGTCCTTCATATACCCAACCATGATTAAAATGACCTTTCAGGAACAGCAGGGAAGGATAGCTGAAGAAAATGAGGTGTGTGAGAATCAAAGCTGTCTACTTGATTGCTGAGGAACTTTTGGACAGTCACAGATCGCATTTCAGATGGGAATTAAAGATGGCTAAGCATGGTACAGGCTTGAAAATGATTCCCTGCTTCAGACTCAGGAAACCAGAGAATCAGGGAAGAAAAAGAGTTTTTACTTGAAGTCTACCTTCTTCCTGAATAATTTTAGAGTGAATTATATATGCATTTTCCATCTGAATTGCTGATCTTTAGGTGAATGGTACTGGATATGAACATACTTTATTGGGGCAAACATTCCTCAGGGTTCTACATGTGCTGTAAAGTATGGCATAGTCCAGCCGCCCATTCATTTCTGGTCATAACTTGTCCACGTAGTACATTTAATCCTCTGCAATTGAATTTTTTATAAAACCGATTTATTTTTACTTTGTTGTAGTGACTTCTATATATTTCACCTCAAGTTAAAGCTCTCTGAAAACTCAAATCTCCTGTGGGTACTAATTCACACAACATTCTGGAAACATAAAATCCTAAATGCGTGCTGACAGCCAATCAATGTTTATAACCTGAGTATGAATAGCTGCATGAACTGCTGCTCCGCCCTCATTGATTGCCACTCTTCACTTTGATTTGGCATACGTTTAGGGCTGATTATGCTTGGATGGCCCTAAGCTCTTTACCATTAGATCAGCAATATATCCTATCAAAAGCTATTTAAGAAATACTTCAATCAATGGCAAAGAGTGTGTTCTGCATGATTCCACCTGCTCTGCGCCTTCATTTTGCATTTACTGAGAGTATCTCAGACAAAAAAAATGCACAGGTGCTGGGCACATTCACAGTGTAGGGTCTTTCAGATCCATCAGCCTGGTCACCAGTAACCACTTACATTATCGATTTCAGTTTCAGCTGAGGCTGTCACTTGTACCTACCTGCCACAGAACTACTCAAAAGAGGCGGTCTTGGGGCCAGGTGGTAGCACACGGGTAATACAACTGGATTGACATGGAAAAGGTCTTGGGTTCACATCTCAGGAGCTCCCTGGCACATGGGTAAGACTAGGGTTGGTCTGTGCTTTGGAGGCGTCTGTCTCTGTCTCTCTCATGGAATAAATGAATAAACTTTAAAATAAAAACAGAAACAGCCTGAGCTGATACATCTTAAATCTTTGGTGGGGGGAGGGAGTCAGCCCTGAGTGAAGATATTCATTGACTTGCGGTTTCTACACTGGAGTCTGTCAACCTCACAGGTATGGGACCACCATGTTTCCCCCCAGTTATGTAAGGGCACCCAGGACAACACATCTTTTCCTTTTCCAGAGTCATTTATGAACTAGCATCTTGGGCCTATTTCTTGGTTCAGCTCTGCTCACTAAGAGCTCTTACTTATTTTAAATGAATAATGATAACCTCCTCCTTCCCATATTGCTACTTGGTGAATCTGCCCAATAATCAGATATGATCAACTTGACTAAAATGTGGATTTTCCTGTAAGTTTAAACTTTGAACAGATTTTTTTTCTTTCTTTCTTTTTTTTTTTTTTGTGGAGAGGTTTTTGCTATAGGGCGCGTGCACTTGCCAGACAGAGAGAGACATAGAGACAGAAAGCGAGAAATCATCCCCCAAGGGGGATGGTCATGCCGCAATCCCTTCTCCTCCATTCTCCTCTCGGGATCTTGGGCACGCACGCACACGCGCCCGGCGTGAGTTTTTAAGCCACTGGGTCTGGGACGCGAACCGCGGTCGACTACGTGGGAGTCCAGCGACATAGCCATTACGCTAACTGCTGGTTCCCCAACAGATACGGTTTTAAGATACGCAAATGCTCTTGGGAAATAACAGGCTGATCTTTCTTTTTAAAAAAGAATTGTTTAGTTTTATTTATCACTATTACTATTTTAAAATTTGCTACAGGGCATGTGTGCTTACCAGAGAGAGACAGAGAGAGCGAGAGAGGGAAAAATGAAAAAACAAGCTGCCAGGTCTGGGACTTAAACTATGGCCAGTCATGTGGGAGTCTGGTGCCTTAACCACCACACCATCTGCTGGCCCTAGGATGGTGTCTCCTTTTTTTTTTTTGAGAGGTTTTTGCTCTAGGGTGTGTGCGCTCGCCAGACAGACAGAGAGAGACATAGAGATAGAAAGCAAGAAATCACCCCCCAGGGGGGATGGTCATGCCGCAATCCCTTCTCCTCCATTCTCCTCTCGGGATCTTGGGCACTCACACACACGCGCCCGGCATGAGTTTTAAGCCACTGGGTCCAGGATGCGAACTGCGGTCGACTACGTGGGAGTCCAGTGACATAGCCATTATGTTAACTGCTGGTTCCCAAGGATGGTGTTTCTTATAAAAGGAAAAAAAAGTAGCCTGTGAATTTTCATGGAGTAATGCCTCATGTTAATCTTGATCAAGATTAATGTCACATGTCAGATTTCAGCAAATAAATACTGGCCATTGAGGCCTTTGTAGATTAGGCCAGGAAGTTCAATGCCATTGAAATATGAGTTCCAGAGAAAGGGCTGCTAGAGATTCAAACAGAGGTTCCGGACAGATCTTTGGAACATAAGTGGCCCTTATGATGTAGTATCTCCTGTGGACATCTTTTGTCTTTTAACTGCTAGAGGGCACTCAACAGTGAGAGAGAAAGAGAGAGAGAGAGAGAGAGAGAGAGAAAGAAAGAGTACCCGCCAATGGAAAATGGTCACACTGTAATCTCTTCTCCATGTCTTCATCCTGTTGAGATTTTGGGCATGTACACATGCACATGTGCCTGGCGTGTTTTTTTTTAAGCTGCAGAGATAGGATTCAAACCAGTTAGTCATGTGGGATCCAGCTCCTTTAACACTAGGCTATGAGGACAGCCCCTGTGGACATCTTTTCTATCAGAAAACTCCTTAAATTAACAATCAAAAACATTATTGCTTGGTGGAGGTGCTGGTGACTAGAGTTTTTACCATGATATTATCCATCTGTACCAAGGAAATACTCTGACTTCCGATTTCAGTTTGACTTGTTTTCTCTGTTCTAAGCGACGTGTTGTGAGTGTAGTGGACCCTGTGAACTGCAGCAAGAATGACAAGTTTCTAAACTCAAAGTGACAGAGGAATATAGCCTCTAGAGACTACAGAATTCAAAGTGTTCACAGATTAACCCCAGAAATAAAATGTCAAACAGATCACTTTTCCATAAAGAGCATACTGTGCCGATTTATTATAGAATGCAGTTAAAAAAAATAGTTTGAGGTTAGCCTCTCCAGTTTAAAAGCACTTAACTAGAAACACTAACACAGCTATGCAACGGTCTCCCCCTCACCGGCTCCCTCCTACCAAGTACTGTAAACAGGATTGTGAGAACATTCGATCAATTTCTCGATATGAACAATCAATTCAATGCAAAGGTATTTGCTTTTCAAAGAAAACTGTCTTCCAGATTTCCAAAGCATGCACTATTACTTGGCATTAGGTATTTCAAAATGACACACTTTGTTATGATATTGTAAGGCCAAAATATAATACCTATTTACCAGACATACACATTACAACTAGAAAAAAAATGACAAATATTAACCTAATATAACAATTCCATCAGGAATTAATGGGGAAAGGCACTGCATCCTTCTCGTATCACCACACGTCTACAATCCACTTCACATGCTTTGAATTCAAGTCCTGTTAGACATCTTTTTCTACAACATACAACTCACAGGTAGGTTAATACATCTGACACTATTCTTCCACTGCCATATTTTTCACCGAAGTGTACAACAGGTATGATTATATACTATCGGCTTTATTTACAAGTTTATTGTGATGTTTTGCTGGGGTAAAAGAATCAACTATTTCAAGCCACAGTTCCCCAAAAGGTTTCCGGCTATGACTCATGGATATAAACCACCACGTTAAAGAAATAACTAAAACCAATGTCTGACCCCAAACACCTAAACTAAAAATGTTCACTCACTGAATATTGGCAGTGATACTGTTGTTCTCTGAATTGTACACGCTAAACTCTACATAGCAATTTCAGACCAGCTCCTCTTGGAAAAGTGCAAGGTGCCTCTTGCACCAGGGAGGAGGCTAGCGAATGTATCCCAGGTAGAATTCTACGAGGGCGTGCTACTGCAAAGAGAGTCAAGAATCCGGAAAGGTGACCCATTGCTCAAATGCTTTCCTAGCTTCCCAAAAGATGTCAAACGACAATGGCTTAACTTTATACACAAACAAAGGTTAGTCTGAAAATCAGTAATATACATGCACAGACATTAGAACATGAGGGAAGAGATGAAACACTACAAGGTCCACACTGTGGTGTTGTTTTCACAATCTTCCTGCGTTAGACCCTTGGCACCTTCGCATGGTGTCTCTTCCTATTGGTAGAGAGAGTCTATCCTGTGGGCTGATTAGAAACAGAAATCTCCTGGGACCCAATGATCAACCTGCCCGTGGCAAAAACAGAACCTACCAGAAAAGAACAAGTATAAAACACTATCGTTATCGGTTTTCTCAAGACGTCCCCCAATGTCCTTGTGCGATCACCACAAACTCAGTGATTGGCCCAAGACATTCCCGAGTGCCATGAACATTGACTGATGTGCAGCATTAGAACAAGGAGACGAAGCCTTGATTCTCTTCTGAGCAACATGAACTGGAGTTTCTGCCACAGCGATCACGGCTGCCACCTCCAAAGCAGTGACCGGCCACGTGCACAGTAAAAGATCCTCTCCACGAGCACGATTTGGACTACTTCTCCATCTGTGTGCCGGTTCAGCTTAAGTGGATAGGTGTGTACTCCGGCCTTCTGGTCTGGATAATTTTTGGTTTGGGTCTCTTCATTCTTTCCATCTCCTCTTCTTCCTCATTCTCTTGATCACTCTCACATACATGGACCACCACACTGGGAGTGGTGTCGGTCGCTGCGTGTAATTCATACTTTTCCCCTAAACTAGAGGGTAACTTGGATACATTTGCAAGAGGCAAAAGTCAGGCCTAAAGGGGAAAGCATTTAGGAGTCAACTCTGTCGAGTTCCTACATACAAGGCAACTTCAAAAAATTTGCAGAAAAATGGGATCAAGGTATGAGTTTATTTGTTGCAAACATCTGAAATCTAGGCTTTGTTTTTTTGAGAGTTGTTTTGCTATAGGATGTGTGTGCTCACTGGACAGACAGAGAGAGACAGAGACAGAAAGTGAGAAATCACCACCTCCCAAGGGAGTTGGCCACGCCACAATCCCTTCTCTTCTATTCTCCTCTTGGGATCTTGGGCATGCACACACATGCGCCTGGCGTGAGTCTGGGTCCAGGACTCGAACTGCTGTTGACTACATGGGAGTCTAGCAACATAACCATTATACCATCTGCTGGTCCCACAGGCATGATTTTTTCATAACTGGCATTTAATTGCCAGAGGACCTTTGCACTCGCCAGAGAGAGACAGGGAGGAGAAAGCATCTCCCAAAGGTGTGTGGTCATGCTACAATCCCTTCTCTTCCATTTTTCCATTCTGTAAGGATTTGTCAGGATTCCTTCTCTTCCATTTTTCCATTCTGTCCGGATGCCTGGCATGTTTTTTGAACTGATGGATCCAGGGTTAGAACTGCACGATCAACCATGTGGGATCTGGCTCCCTTAACCATTAAGCCAAGAGGCCAATACTCATAATATTTATTTTCAATGAACTTCTTAAAGATATGCCCCCATACATCCAATGGGATAGAAGGACACAGCCAGGCACATTTAAGATTTGTACTTTTTTAGTGGCTCATTTAGAAAAATAGGTATCTCCTCTGTAACTGTCAAGCACCCTGATTCCAGGCATATAGAAAGCGTAGAAGAGATGCATATGTAGTTACACTTTTCCTGTCCACCAGGCATCCAGAGGACTCTCCATCTGCCAGTGTTTCCCTAAGTGTAGTGTGAGGAGTATCAGTTCAGGAAAAAGATGTTATGTGAATAAACATATCTGGTAATAGGCCCCCTGAAATTCCCTCATGAGGTTCCCACTGAGGGTTGCTGTGACCCCAGAGACCAGGAGACTTGAGGAGGCCCTGTGTGCAGATGCAGGTATGGCTGCCTTGAACCAGGTGCTCTGCAAATATTTGTGACCAGAAAATCCTTTTTCTCTTAACTTGGAAACCAGGAGGGCACTGTTGGTCTATGTCAGCCTAAGTTTTTCAGGTTTAGCTAAGCTCACTCTGATTCCGCAAGAGTGGAGTGAGCTTTCTGAAACTAGAAACCATGGCAAGGTTTAACAGAGGAGCCGGGCAGCCCTTTCTGGTCCAGGAAGAGTTGCCCTTTGGTGCTGATGGGAGGCAGTGCAGCAGAGTGGCCAACACGTAGGCTCTGAGTCCTACCCAGTCCCGGGGCACATTATTTTGTCTCCCTGGACACCACAGTCTCCTCCTCTATAAAAATAGATAGTAAGGGCAGAGAATTGCATGAATGAATGCACACAAGACACTTAGGACCTGCTCATACTTCACATGACCGATAAATGTGACCCAGAATAATGTTTAGAACTGGATGTAGAATTGGTGGAGTGAGTTGTAGGAATGCTAGGATTTGAAACTGGGCCAGGAAGGTGTGTGGCAGCTCACTCCACTCCTAGAGTGACCTGGGGTGAGTGTTCCTCCAAGGCTCTATATGAGGGAATTACTGAAGTTCTGGGTGAGAAAGCCCCTTAGGTGTACTCCTCCGGCCTGGTGTGATTGCCAGCTGGAGGAGCCGTCAGGCAGGGAGTCCTAGCTCCTGCTATCCGGATGCTCCTCCAGATGGGAAGTACTCTCACTCTTAAGGAGGATGGCTAACTTTCCTCTAGCCTACCCCTGAGGCTGGAAGGCTGGAAAGGATGCAGGAGCCTTCCTCTGAGAGAGAATTAAAGTATGTAAGGAAGATAGATCACTGAAAACATCGTCACAAATTGTTATGGATCTCTCAATTAGCCAAAATCTAGAAAGCTCAGGACCTGGAACTATGTTTGAAAAACCTGGGCAATCCTGTTGGCTGAACAGCATAGCTGAAATATAAAATATTCAAGTTCATTGTTAAATAAACTAAGGGCAAATTGGTCTTACTACATCTATTTTCTTAAAAAAGACTCCTCCAACCAATCTTTTGTATAGGAGTGGTAGATTCTAGGGTGTGGAGAATTTTCATGAACAGCCCTTCTTGACTCTTGAGAAGCTGATGCCTCTCTCCAGGCAGAGATCCCACTTCCTCCATTTCTACCATACTGGAAGATTCCACACCCTCAGACCCTGAATGCACCTCACCAGACGCTGCCCTGGAGGAGCACAGACATCCTCAAACTGGCCATTTTCGGTCGTGACCTTCACGATAAACAATGTGATTAGCAGTAAGTAACGTGATTCCTGCTTTGTACCACAGAGGGAATTTCCGTTGGGGCGATGTTTTCAGAAATGTAATCTTTTCGATATGAAACTGCTGATGGCTTGAGAAAATAAAACCCTCAACCCAAGGACCATCAGTTTGCTGGCCAAGGAGAAACAAGGAGCTGATGGGCTCAGCATTTTTATTTGCTTCATGGATGGGGTAGGAGGGTGGCTTATACCTCTTTCCCCAAACCCCTCCTTCACTCCCACCTCCTCACCCATAGCTAGCAGATAGGGCAGCAACAACTCACAGCCTGCTATTTCAAAAAACTTGTTTTTCACTCTGTGATCATCTCTTCTACCATCACAATTCCACCAGTGAGCCCCATTTTATGGATGAGGCGGCTACGGTATCTGTTTCTGAGTGCTCACACTTCTGTCCCTTCTTTCTCCGGCAAGTGCAGTAGGAGAGTGGCCCTATGGGATCCTGGGGAAGTCCTCCACTGTGCTCTATGGTTCTCCTTCCCTGGCCCATTACAAAGACCAGGTGAGAACCAATCAGATGAACAGATGAAATGACCTTGACTGAAAATCTAACTTCTACAAGCAAGGTCTGTTTTCCCTACGAAAAGTCCAATCGCTCTTCTCCACCTGGAGTGACAGGATCTGGGGCCTGGGCTGAGGCCTTGCAGGCAGCCTGCACCGAGTGGGTGAGGGGATGGACTCAGGTGCTGCCTGTGGGAGAGATCATGCTGCAGTCTTGCTTGCACACCTTCCTAAGAAGTGCACACTCCCAGCAATGATGCAGGAGGATGCACACACAGATGGTTCACACAGCAAGACCACACTGGATCACAGGAGAGCTCAGAAGGGCAGTGGGGACACCTGCATGTGCTGGGGTACAGGAGAGCATCTCATCTTAGGGCCTCCAGCACAGTTGCTCCACACCTCCCTCCATCCCTCTCCTCCTGAGGGCACTACTTACCTGGGCCTAGCTTGGAGATAGCATATAAAAGATCATAGTTTATGACTGGAGTCGCATCTTCTACTTGCTTCCAACCAACTGGAGGGGACGCGGGAGGAGAGATCAGAAACTGCTTGTCTGGGTTTGGTGGAGCCAGGTGGGAGCTTCCTATGTGTAACGTCTGAGGAGAGAGAGAAATATAGGTCACTGTGCCTTTGAAAAGGCAGGTGTGAGGGCATAGGCCACAGCCAGGAAGAGAACAGGTCTGGTTCAAGGATGACTCATGAACTCCCGGAAGGGGGAGCTAACGGGATGTGTGAACTCTGGTCCTGGCGCAGATATGCCCAGAGCCCCTCCCAGGCACCAGGACAACCAGTGGTTAATTATGTTTGACCTAGGCTGACAGAAATTAAGAGAGATGGCTTTAGTACAAATGGGAAAATAAAGCCATTGTCTTCAAGGTCAGAAGGGGTCTCAGAATCAATTTCTCTGAGCTCTTCAGACCACAGAAGCACAGCTTAAGGCCCAAAGGCTAAGCAATATCTCAGATGACGCAGCTTTCCAGAGGGACAGCACAAGGACAGGGAGCCATGCTTCAGGCTTCTGCAGCTGCACCCCCTAACAGCCCTGACTCCATTTCTTCCCTCTGGGGCTCCCAATCAGATGCCAAATGCAAGAAAGGAGAACAAAAATCCACTTTCCAGAAGATTTTAAAAAATAATTAGGAACAATATAACTTGTGATCCTAGTATGGTCTTTAAAATTATGCCAGTGACGAGAGGGTGGTCCAGAAAGATATTACATCAAAAGCTTACCAGTTTGAGTTTTCTTTTCACTTTAATATCCCACCCGCTGATTTTCACAATGAACAAGCACTATTTTAATGATCAAGAAAAGTCATGAAAGTACTAAGTACTGTAATTATTTCTATAAAACCTCACCTGATGCAGAAAGGAGTATACTTGCAGAGGAAGACTTGGGACCCAAGGTCAAAGCCCAGTCCCACATCTCCCAAGGAAGTACCATGGGAGAGGAGGGGTGGGAGTGTCTGTGAGCAGGGCGTTCAGAGTACAAGCTTTAATACACGCTCGAATGGCCCAGCAAGTTTGCCCTCCCATTTTGAAAAAGAAAAAACTAGGACATTTAGTCTGAAGAGCTTCCTTTCAAAGTCATGAGGCCTCCGGACAGGGTCTTCTCTTTTTCCCTCCCTTCCCATCGACTTCCCTTCCCAGGGTTGGTGTGTGTGTGAGAGAGAGAGAGAGCAGAGGTGAGGGTGGTGGGGGGATAGGGATTGGCTTTGTAGAAAGTCCTTCTCCTTCCCCTAACAATCCATCAGCCTCTATTATATTGTAGACTAGAGCTTGGAGAGAGGCTTTGAAGATGGGTCACGTAAGAGTCTTGTGAGGAGGGTCAGAAGGTTAGAGGTCAGGAGAAAAAGCAGATCCACTTGCAGCTCCTCACCATGGACACCCTGGACCAATCCCAGTAACAGGAGGGTTTATTACCATCAGCTACTGTCTCGTTAGCGTTTTCTCCTTCCAGGCTAGGCCTGGCAGCCTGGTGCTAATCTGCATGCTTGTTCGGGGACTCCTAGCTCTTCAGTGAGCAAGCTGATGCCTGAGTGCCTGTGATGTAGCCTGTGCCCTCTGCTCGCTCTGGACTGGGTGTTTAGCCCTAAGCCTGGAGCACAGTCATGAACACTTGCTGTGCAAAACTGAGGGTGCGGGAGCAGCCATGCCCATGCAGAGGCATTCTACCCCTCCCTGAATGACAGAGAGACCTTCCTTTATTTCATTATTATCAACCCAAGAGAGTCAGGGACTGTTTCTGAGGTTGCTTTTAAACACAACTGGATGTCTTGTTAAAATAGGTGAGACACTGCAAATTAATTTTGTCTTTCTCAAGATGAATTCTTCAGAGTTTTTAACTGGAGTATATAGTAATCAATCTATAAGCTGTCTTCAAAAAGGGTAGAATGGGAGGACAGCGGACGGCATAGAGGTTACGTCCTGGACTCTCACATGGCTGACTGTGGTTTGAGTCCTGGACCTGATGGACTGAAAATCACACAGGGTGCATGTGTATGCACGCCCAAGATCCCAGGAGGAGAATGGTGGGGAAGGAACAGTGGTGTGGCCATTCGCCCTGCTGGGTGATTTCTCATTTTTCCTCTCACTATTTACTGAAAATCACACAGGGTGCATGTGTATGCACGCCCAAGATCCCAGGAGGAGAATGGTGGGGAAGGAACAGTGGTGTGGCCATTCGCCCTGCTGGGTGATTTCTCATTTTTCCTCTCACTATTTCTCTCTCTCCCACAAGTGCATGCACACTAAGGAGAAAACCTCTCACACACACAAAAAAAAAAAAAAAAAAAGGTGGAACGAACCATCCCCAGAGCCTAATGATTAAGGAGGAAGCTGGATCCCACATGACTGACCATGGTTCAAATCCTGGCCCCTCTGTGTGTGTGTGTGTGTGTGCCCCAAGTCCTAACAGGATCAAGAAATGGAGGGACCAGAGGTTAGTGTAGTGGCTATGTCGCTGGACTCCCACGTAGTCGACCGTGGTTCGTGTCCCGGACCCGGTGGCTTAAAACTCATGCCGGGCGCGTGTGCGTGCGTGCCCAAGATCCCGAGAGGAGAATGGAGGAGAAGGGATTGCAGTGTGGCCATCCCCCCTGGGGGGTGATTTCTCGCTTTCTGTCTCTCTGTCTCTCTCTGTCTGGCGAGCGCACGTGCCCTATCGCAAAAACCTCTCAAAAAAAAAAAAAAACAATTAAAAAAAAAAAAAAAGAAATGGAGGTGAAGGGACTGAGGTATGACCACATCCCAATGGGAGGTGCTTTCCTTCTCTCTTGCTCTATCTCTGTCTGTCTGTCTGTCTGTCTCTCTCTCTGGCAAGCACATGCACCCTGTGGCAATTAAAGGAAAAGAAAAAACCTAGAAAGAAAGGGTGGGAGGGTCCATGCAGTGACATAGTGTAGTGCAGTGAAACCCACATGGGAGGGGTCCTGGGTTCATGTCCCAGAATTGCCCTGAGCCTGCCGGCATGTGCCTGTGGCCTGGCTGGCTGAGGCTCTATCATGGCATGAGGACTCTGTTGGGGTGCCTATTTCTCTGTCTATCTCTCAGAAGAAATAAATAAACTGAAAATATAGAAAAAGTAAATTAAAGGGAGAAGGGAAAAGATGTGAATCAATAAAACCAACTCACCTGAGCAAAATATAACTTCATTTCCTTCCCAAGAAACTCAGTCTTATGCAGTTGGAGTCTGGCGTCGGCTGCTGATAAGGGGTTGCTGAAGTTTATTCGGACTCGTTTGAAGCTCTTAAAATACTGAAAGGTGATATCTTTGTCATAAGTCCTAAAGAGGGATTCAAATTTGGCCTGAAGAAAAGCAATACAAATAAAAGTAATTAAAATTGATGGTCATATGACCCTTGATCAGAGGACATCATCTTATTTATCGAGGAAGTGGATTATCTATCATTTCAAGAACTTCCTAACTTTTTTTGTGAAAGGGAAGACACTCCTTTGAGTCCTAATAAAGGTGATTTTATAAGGTAAGAAGGTATAAATGGCTAAATACATTTATATTCAGGAGAACAATGACTAGCAGGTAAACATTTCATATAGAAACAGAAATATCCTTTTTAAAAGGAGAATGAGCATTTCCAAGGAGGTATAGTCTGATATTTCATTATCCCCTGGTCTGAGGTCCTTCTGTCCTAATGACCTTCCCCAGTCCCAACCTCCCAGCTCAGTTCAGGTGATGTTCTGTATATCAATTTTTTTTTTTTTATGGCTTAAACGTCCAGCAGCTAATTTAAAAAGCACACAGATAAAAACTAAATTTTTATTGAATTGAAAAACAGTGACTCTAATAAAATAAATTCTGTATTTCTAAAAGAAACTAGTTTCAAAAGTCCTATTGTTTTCTTTTTCTTTAAATTTTAGTCTGTTACTTTGCAACTCTCTGAAATAAAGCTGGTTAAAAAAATTGATGCACTGTAAATTTCTTCACACTGGCTTTATATACGTACACACATCACAGGGTTAATGAAAATTCTGAAACAGCATGAGGTCTTAGAATGGAAAACCCAAGTTCGAGGATTAGGAGCATGGATTCAGGAAACAGCTCATAACCTCCTGGGAAAAGTTCTGGGAGAGACGCCCTGAGCTGGGTTCTGGGATGGGAGTGTCAGTGTGGAGAGCAGAAGGCCATTCCAATCCCTGCAATTCCTTAAAATTCTAACCGGAGATGGAGGGTGTTGGTGGGCAGTTGAAGCAGTCTTCAACTGCTTCAAGGCAGACTGTATCTGAGTGTTGTTTACAGATTAAACACCTAGGACAGGCTGAGGAAACCCAGATGAGAGGAGGAGGGGGTGGCCCAGAGCTTGGGTCCAGATCAAACTGCCCTCCACACAGGAGAGTGATGCAGAAGAGGCAACAGAGTCAAGTGCCCTGGAAACCTCTGGAAAGTGCAGAATTTCTGCACTAGGAGTGAGGATTCTGAGAAACAGAGGGGAAGGTCTTTAGGAATACTGGCTTCAGAGAGATGGAACGAGTTGGCTGCCCTACAGGTGGGGCTATCCGGGAGATGGACTGCCGTCCCACCAGGCAGGATGGTAAGGGCAGGGGGAATGATGCATAGCCTTGCTCTTTGCGAGTCCCCTGGTTTTCCTCAGTTTATGAACATCTGATTTGCCCTGTGGAGTTCTACAGAGCCCCCTTCTGAGAGAATGCAGAGGTGAGGCTCCACAGTTCCCAGCAAATTTCTTCTCCCCCCATCATTACTTTTGTCCCTAACTCTCTTGAGTACGAGCAAGTTTCCAGTAGAAGGGTGTCTTCATAAATTTGGAATTTTGCATGACCTCACCAGTACGCATTGTGACCAACTAGGTAGTTTTGAAGTTATGATTCAGAATTTGGGAGAGATGACTCTGATGAATATTTTTAGAGTATAAATCATGGCTCAGGCCCAGAACAAAGAAGAAATCACATTATCGATTAAATCCAGATTATGATTATACCATTCTCTTATAAAAGAATCTATTTGTTCTGATAACTGATACCAAATTATTAAACATGCTGGGTAACATCTCTACTTAATTAACAATTTTACTTACATAAGACTAAGATGAAGGAAATGATTTTGTAATACTTTACACATAAAGCATACTCTATAATCTAGCTCAAAACTATAGTCCCAGCCTGCAAACACGATTTGGAGTTAAATTTGATTTTTTCTTTTTTTTTAAAGAAAGAAACCTTCACATGTCCCCCAAGATGGCTTTGGGTATAAAGCATGTAACACAAACTCCACCCATCCCCTCCAAAAGAATAAAGGATTCATTCGTATACAATATTATTAAAGACCAGTTAGACAGCTGGTTAGCTACTGATGAAAATCTTACTTTTTAATCAAATGAAGAAAAACACTGACTAAAATGACTAATTATATTAATTACCTTCAATGAGAGCTGCTGCCCAGGAGGCACGCTTATCCCACACTTACATTATTTGTCCAGTTTTATTATTTGCTATGACTGCATTTTCTATAGCTAGAGTAATCTAGAAGCTTGTGGACAGGTCCTTGTAATTGCTAAGAATACACAAATGTTTTTACAGTACATATTTCCTAAGATGAAATCATATTATTCTGAATTCTAGTTGTAAAAGTAAAACGCTCTATTTATTCACTGTCAGGAGTGGCCACTCCCTGAAAAACTTCCTTACAACACACAGAATAAAAACCATACAATACCCAAATGCTGTCTTACAGTAAATTGGTCTAAAGACCTGGGTGTTTTCAAATATTGAGACCTTTAACAATTCCCTCAGTTTGTTCCTCAGACAACAGCTTCTGACTTTCAAGACTCGCAATACTTTGGATGTATTCCCAAACCCCCAAATTGACAAAACTGTCACATACTCCCCAGAGTTTCAGTTAAGAATTCCAATTAGCATAATGCTTTAAAAACAAAAATCACATTATATTAGCAGCCTTACCCTGGTTTCACTTTCGCTGAAGATCTCACTGTTTGCCACACAGGCAATCAGGGAGCTAAAACTGTAGTTAAAGTTTCTAAAGTGCATCTTGCTTTCTCACAGTGAACAACTAGAGACCCACGCAGCCGAGCCCCAAGTGAGTTCCCTTCCAAGAGGCTGTGTAGGTTCTTTCCAGAGCCAGCCCTTATAAAGCACTGAAGGCCAGCCCCCTGGGGAAAAAAAAGCTGGGCTTCCAGAGCATCCTGTTTGGACAGCACATTCCTGACTCAAGTCCTGCATGCTTGCAGGCAGACAGGGACAAAGTGTAAGTTTCTACTGGAAAGAGGTGACGTCAACACCTTAGTCATTTTCCCTATGCTAATTAACTCTGCTTGGGGAAGATGGAAAAAACAGCTGAGGTTTGCTTCGCAGCTGCTTTACCAAGCCCTCTTGCAGCATAGTTTCCACTGGTAGTAATTCCATTCAGCCACTCAGACAACGCGCTCCTCAGCTGAATGGGACGACCCTTCTTAAGATGGAAAATGTTACAGAAGAAAAAGGACCGAGTCTAGAGCAGTAAACAGCAATTAGCCTGCAGGGAAGTTTCAAGGCTTTGGGAGACCTGGAGACCAAAGTCTTGGTGAGTTTGCTTGATCCCTGTAATTTCCTGAAAAACCTCAATCGAGGTTTCATATTGGGGCATTAGAGAAAACATTTTGAAATATGTCTTGGTCAATGAACTCTGTTTTTAAAGAAAAGCATGGGATTTATTTTGAAATGTAGTTTCTTTCCTTTTTATTTTCTTCCCCTAGTTCAACTTTATTGGATGGACAGCTTAATTCTCACTTTATTCCACAGTGGGTTAAGTGGGGAAAAATCCTAAAGCAATCCTAGAATTTTCTTTTGAAAACTTTATTATTGTAATTTGAGAACTAGGAATATGTAACACATTGATCATTCTTCTAACAGCTACTGACTTCAGGCAAAGATATAAGCACATTTTAGTGAATCTAGCCTGTGAAATTGAGAAAATAAACATTAAGAGATCCTGCTTAGAGGCTTATAGACTAAATGCTTCTTTTCCTCTCCCCACCCCCCAAAAAAGGACAGGAAGAAAAAATGGAAAGAATAGAACCTGTAATTGAAAAGCTAGATACAGTTGAGCTGTCTGGTCTGGAGAAGCACACTGGCATGTAAGACCTGCTCACTCCAGCCCTATCAAAAGGCTGCACCTCTCTTCTAAGCATTTTGCCACTTTCAATCCCTATGGAAATCTGAGTCTTAAGTCCTATCTTCTTTCTCCAAATTCATTGTTATCTAAAAGCATTCAAGTTATTTAAGCATTCTATAGTTTAGGGGCACACAGGGACAGCTCTTAAGTTCCCAGATGTTAAAGGAACCCTACTGTTCATATTTAAAAATTAACTTCAAAGAATTATTAAAGTCAGGCACAATTAAAAAAAATATATGCAACAGGAAAAAAACAAGGCAGAGCGTTTATGCCTCCAAAAAATGAAAAGCAAAGTCTTCTTGGATGAGTGAGTGTTGCTTAATTTGAATGCACTGTGTCTTACTGCCAACTGCAGAGTTATGTAATAAACCACTTACGGTGTTTGCCCTGCCAAATTATCCATAATTCCCAGCCCATAAAGACCTAAATGCATACATCCTCAAACAGTTCAGAACACTGGGAACGAGTGTGAATATTGCTTCGTAATGGAGTGTGCTTGGAGGCGCTCCATTTTGGACTCAATGTCCTGGAGACATGTGTGAATTGTAGAGGTTGGATGGGTACAGGGAGCAGTGGGGGAAGCTAAAGGGAAGTAGGGAGGGGGAGGCAGGGGGCACAGCTCTGCACTCTACCCCTCCAGTCAAGCTAGAAAGTTCTTGGAGTTTCCCTCTTTTGTGGCAACCCTTTGCCTCTTTCTATCCTCTTTCTCCTGGAGTCCACTTTGACAAATAAATTAAAAGGCGTGGGCTGGCCTGATGGTTAAGGGAGCTGGAGCTCACATGGCTGGCCATGCAGCCTGAATTAGCCTTGGCAGCCTGAAGAACACATCAGGCACATGTGTGTGAGTACCCCAGATCCCAACCGGGTAGAGAAATGGAGAGGAAGAAATTATGGTGGCATGACCATGCCCCATGGGGGGCACTTCTCCCCCTGCTCACAGCACACATGTCCTCTGGCAACAACAATAAAGGTGATTAGGAGGAAGAGGAGCCTTGTTTTACTGTCTTTTTCTTTTTTTAATCATGACACATAGCTCCAGTTCAGTTGAGTGGGCAGATCTAGAACATTTCTGTTTATCTGAGACACTCAATTACAATTTTGATTTTCTACATGGATTAAAAAAAAATAAAACACAGAAGTGTTTGGAGATGATTCAATTGTCTTTGGTCTCAAAAATGACAGATCTTTCACTAGATTGCCCTCCAAACTTAATAAAACATAATTCTATGCCTGCCTTTGAATTAATCATCTCTACCTTGATGGAACTCAGTGAACTTAAGTATTTCTGTTTTTTTTTTGTAGAGGTTTTTTTGTTTTTTTTTTTGCTATAGGGCACGTGCGCTCTCCAGACAGAGACAGAGAGACAGAAAGTGAGAAATCACCCCCCAGGGGGGATGGCCACGCCACAATTCCTTCTCCTCCATGTTCCTTTTGGGACCTTGGGCATGCACGCACACGTGCCTGGTGTGTTTCAAGCCACCGGGTCTGGGACATGAACCGCGATCGACTACATGGGAGTCCAGCGACATAGCCATTATGCTAACTGCTGGTCCCAGTATTTCTGTTTTTAAGATCAGACTGTTACAGTTAAAATGGTGGCTGCCATGTGTAGGGAGGCTGGAATAGAAGTTATCTGGCAAACAAACAACAACAACAAAAACACATTAAAGTCTCTGGGTACAAGAGCCCTAAACCAGGAGACAGGGCACCTAGGATTTGCCACCTTGTAGTTCTTTGGCTACACCATGAGAGGTGAGGGGATTTGAGTTTCAGGGTGTCTCATGCTGAGTGGTATGGCTCCTTTACTCTGACATCTGCTGGCCGGGGAACAGGGCACTATGTTTCCTGAGACACCTGTCCTTGAACCCAGTGGTAACACTGCTTGGTGCTCATCTCTGTTTCTCTCTCATTTGCTAATCTGATAGTCCTGATTAGAATGTTCGTTCACTGACAGCATGTGATAAATTTGGATTTCTATAGGCCTTATGCAAAACAATTTAACTTATACATAGTAACTTTTTTCCACTCAGCATAAAAATGAATCCAAATCAATTTTTTTTTTGGAGAGGTTTTTGCTATAGGGCGCGTGCGCTCACCAGACAGAGAGAGACGGAGAGACAGAAGGAGCGAAATCACCCCCCAGGGGGGATGGTCACGCCGCAATCCCTTCTCCTCCATTCTCCTCTAGGGATCTTGGGCATGCATGCACACACGCCCGGCGTGAGTTTAAGCCACTGGGGCCAGGACTTGAACCATGGTCGACTACGTGGGAGTCCAGTGACATAGCCATTACGCTAACTGCTGGTCCCTCCAAATCAAATATTAAAAAGTTGACTTTTGGATTAGCAGGTTAAGGCGCTGGATTCCCACATGGCTCCCTGTGGTTCGTGTCCTGGACCTGGTGGCTTGAAAATCATGCTGGGTGCATGTGCATGGGTGCCCAAACTCCCGTGAGGAGAATGAAGAAGCATGAATGAAATGATTTATCACTTTCCCCCTCACTCTGGCTATCTCTGGTGAGTGCACATGCCCTATGACAAAAATCTTTTTAAAATGTTGACTTTTCTACTTGAAGTTTTCCCAGTGGTTTGAAAGACAAGTATACCATTAGTTCTTTCTTCTTTTTAAAAAGTTTTCATTTATTTATTGTTTCTTCTGTATGTGTGTGAGAGAGATAGAGCATCCCCAACAGAATCTTGATGCCACAATCCACCCCCGGCTGCAGCCAGCCCCAGATTTTGGGTACTCAAGGAGTGCCCTGTGTACTCAAGGAGTTCTCCAGATATAAACATGTGGCTCAGCCTCATAGAATATTTTTTTTTTATTTTTATTTTTTATTTGTTTTGCTACAGGGCACATGTGCTCGCCAGAGACAGAGACAGAGAGAGAGGGAAAATAAGATATCATCCTCTAAAGAGGATGGCCACACCACAACAATCCATTCTCCTCCAGTTTCCTCTGGGAATTTTGGGCATGCAAGCACATGTGCCCGGCGTGATTTTCAAGTTGCTGGGTCCAGGACTCGGACCATTGCATCGAGTCAGTGAGGTAGGATCCAGCACCTTAACCACCCACCTCCTCCTGGCCCAAGCTTCATGTTTTATTGCTGCATCACCGTCTGGTCTCACATTCTTAGTCTTGTGTGTTAGTCAAATGTAAGTGATTTAAAGAAAGCAGTGCCCACAGCAATGTCTCATTAGAAACCTTGAAAAGCACACTAAAAATTGCACTCCACAAGGTAAAACTGAAACCAGAAGTTAAAAAAGAAATGAAGAGTTAACTCAAAGCTTTAGATGCTTTGTTTTTTTTTCTTCCACTCACACCATAAAAATGCTAAATGACTCTCTTTAGCCTGCATTTGCCTCCTCAGGCTCCAAGCAGTTACAGCATATTTTCATTAAGAGGTTTCTATTTTTGGTGAGGAAAAAATGAGGCTCATGATGAATTCCACTATTCCCATTACAGCATTCCTAAGGCACAGTTGGGATGACCTCAGCATGTCCATCCTAACCCCTTCCCCCCCAGAGTTGATCATTGCACAGGAACGTGTCACCCGGGAAACTCTCTACAGGATGAACTGACCAGGGCGGGAAACTAAGTTTGGATTCTGTTGTGCACACCAGCTCAGAGCAAATGATGACACGATGTGTAAAGGATCTTTCATCAAAGGAAAAGGGTCACACACCTGATGGAGCTAAATGGTGTCAATTCTCCACCTTGAAGGCTAATAAAGTTACCTTTTATTTGAGTTTTTAGCTTTTGGGATAATAAAATAATTTTATTGTTATTTATGATTCGTACCCCTTCTCTTTATAATATGTTAAACTAAGTTAACACAAAAACAAACCAAAAATGGCTAGAGCTTGTTAAACAACGGATGCAGGAAGAGTGCCTGGAACACCGCTTGTGGTTGCAGTGTGCTAGCTGCCTTTCTAATTCCCATGCACGGATACAGACTGAGGTTCACAGTGGCACACTGCGCTTAGGATAGCCAGAACTCAGGCTGGTCCATCTTTTTCTCTTTCTTGCTCTCTTCCTCTCCTTCATTTATTTCTTCCTTTAGGGAGACAGTGAGAAAGAGAAAAGAAGACAGGCACCCTCGAAAGGGTTCCCATGCCATGAGCCACACCCAGTCTCTGCCAGTCCAGATCACAGGCACGTGTACATGCCCAATGTGTACAGGAAGGCCCCTAGATGTGAACCCAGGATTCCTTCGGTGTGGGTCTAGGTGAGCAACTACCACACCACACTTAGCCTCCACCCTGACTCCGCAGTACTCCACAAAACACCTGCCTAGTGCCAGTGCCCTTCGGTATCGTAGCTCATTTTCCCATTTCTCTACACAGTCTGGGCAGCTGAGTGTCTTCTTCCCTATGTGCACAGCTGGCTAACATAAAGTTCTCGGGTTC